CTCCGCTGCCTGCCGCCTGCCCGCTCGCTCTCCCCTCCCTTCTGGATCCTGAGTTTCTCTTTCCTTCCTGCTCTGGCCTCCCTCATCTGCCTCCTCTGTGGTCGGCCCTGATGGCTGCCGCCTCTGTCTCTTACCCTTTGGGGTCTGGCCTGCCAGTCTGGGCTTGACTCTCCTTTTTGGCTGAATTATTTTCCAGGTCTTGGCAGAACAGTGTCTCTGGAAAGTACAGGCTGGCCCTTTCGCCTCTGTTTCACCAGATCCCCTCGATGTGGCCGCAGAACCCTGTTCCCGGCTCATGGACTTCTCAGCGGCCATGATTTCTCGTTCAGCTGAGCTCTCAGACTCATGAGAGGATCAGCTGTTTATGACTTTTGAGAATACTAAGAAAAAGAGTTGTTTGCTACATGTATCCACTTACATTTAGTTACCCACTAATATTTATATCCACTTATATTTAGTTATTTCCTAACTTCAGGTGTTCTTCCTCTACATTTTCTAAAAGAATTAAGAAAAATAAGATTCTTACATTTCTTTTCATTCCTAATTCATTAAGCTTTGGGAGCTTGGAAGAAGCACACTACTGCCAACAGAGGCTCCATTAAAAGATATTAAATCTGTCCTCTAAGTGAATTATTGATTATTTAAAAATTACATACCAATTAATTGCAGTGTATTCAGAAATTAAGAGAAATATTCAAGACAAAAGCCCTGGCCGGTGTGGCTCGGTGGACCAGCCTGCAAACCAAAGGGTCGCGGGTTGGATTCCCAGTCAGGACACAGGCCTGGGTTGTGCCCCAGGTACCCAGTAGGGGGCGCACGAGAGGCAAACACATTGATGTTTCTCTCCCTCTCTCCCTTCTCTTTGAAAATAAATAAACAAAATATTAAAAAAAAAAGGAAAAAACCCGAAATTATTTGCAATCCCAGCAGTGAGATTTACCTTTCATCCCAGTCATTGGTATATTTCATTCTAGTCATTTTCTGTGTGTGTGTGTAGTTACATTTATGTTTTATAAAACTAGGCCCATACCACATGATTTTTATATAATTTTTTTATTCAATGAAGTATTATAGTCATTTTTGCATCTTTACCATAGCATTGCATTTTATGTATCATAATTTCCCTAACTCTTGTTGCATTTTCTGGGGTTTTTTTTTTTTATGCTTTTTTGTTTTTTGTTTTTTCCATTGTAAGTAGTGTTGCAGCTCTTGAATTTGAAAAGGTACTTTTATTTTCTGGCAGTTGACAGCGACAAAAGAATCCTTGTGTTAAAGGAGGAACAAAAACATTTTAAAAAGAAGGGTCAAAATGGTAACAATGACTTCACAATCTCCTAAATGTAACTTTTCTTATCAATATTTCATTTTATTTTTAAAACCCATCATGAGAATGGCCCATACAAATGGGTTGGGTGGGGTGTTCGGAGGGGCTGCGTGTGCGGGGCTGGCTGTGGCCGCGGGACTGGACCGCGAGGCGCCTGGCCTCCGCGTCTGCGGGGAGGCGCGGCCCGAGCGTCCCCACGATGACTCCCTTCGCCCTGGGAGCGCCACGCACTTGGGGTTCTGACCTCGGGGTTCTGACCTCGGGGTTCTGACCTGCGGCCAACAGTGGAAACGGTCTCTGTGAGTCGCATCGAAGCTGGTCGCTCTGCGTCAAAGCCCGTCTGCCTCGCTGCCCCCCACGCTGCCCCCGCGGCAGAGGCCCTGCGGCACTTGCTGTCTGGATCAGCTTCTCCAGCTGGGACGCACACACAGGTCACCTGGGAAGCTCGTCACGGTGCAGGCCCCAGCCGGGCAGGTCTGCAGTGGGTCCAGCGGTGCCTTTTAAACAAATTTCCAGGTGCTGCTGCTGCTGCTTCAGAGACTTGTCTTTCTAGTAGCAAGATTTTACTTAGACCAGTGGTTCCCAATATGTAAGCAAAACAGAACAAGACATTTCAGGACCTTACCCCCTCAAGGTAATAATTGTCGTTTTAGTATATGTTAATTGAGAAAACACATCAAAAATCGATATGCGTTAAGAAAAGCTGTCACATGAGCTTGTGTTTTTAGTCAGGACGGCATCTGCTTACATTTTGGCGTCTTTGGCAGAACACCAAAGGGCTGCGTGTTAAAATCAACATTTGGTTACAGTTGAGGCCACTGGCTTCTCACCTTTACTAACATGCACACCGACTTTTAAGCATCTTCCCTGAAGTGACTTACAGGGACCATACTGCAGGCGCAGGTTCTACAAACTACAGTATTGAGACTCTTTTTGCTGGTGACCGTTCAGTGTTTGCTGCGCCACAGCATTTGAGCATCTCCCACACGCACCCAAGGAGGCAGTGCCCCGGTCTCTTTGGTGTCAGGTGGTGTGGCCTTGATCGATGAGAGCGAGCGGTGATGCTTCCCCACGGCCTTTGTTCTTTGCGTGTGGTTTCTGTGCTGTGGTTACTTCCTGAGCACATACTGAAGGACCCCAGCGAGACCCTGGATGCAAGACAGGTTGCATAGTTTGCGGGTCCCAAGGTAAAATGAAAACATGGGGCTCCGTGTTAAAAAATCAGGAGTTCAAGACTGGACCTTGAGAGCACGGAGCCTCGCCCGGGTGCCGCGGCCGGCCCTGCGCTGACGAGGGCAGCCCAGCCTGCCGGTCGGCGCACTGGCAGCTGCACAGCATTGCCACTTAAAGACCGGCTCCCGCCTGGGGGGGATACGTCCCCAGCCCCTCGTGCAAGGAGAGCAGCGCCCTGACTTCACCGTGAATCCCTGTGCGGCAAAGGATGAGAGGGCCCGGCTGTTTCTGTCTCTTCCCATGTCCACGGTGTAGAACGTAGAATGGCACATTTAAAATTACCATTGATTTTGAGTTTTTTCACAGCAGAATATAATTCAGAAAAGTTATTTTTGGACACGTATTTTCGAGAGCAACGTTGTTGCCAGGATTCATAGTTCCGGCAACTTGCGAAAGCTGGGAGCTTCATTTCCAGCGATGGAACTGAGCACCAACCTGAAGCCGCCATGGGGAGGCCGGCCCTCACCCCAGAGGCAGACTGAGGGCCCCGGGGGGCGGCGGCTGGGCCCGGCCCGCCCGCAGGGCCCTCCTGGGCAGCTTGGCTGCTGGGAGCAAGCTGCGTGTTGGTGTCTTTTCTCTCTAAACTCCTCCTCCCCCTGATTTTAAAGTATTCTTTATTATACCTGAATCGCATATTTATTACTGAGTTTCTGATATATGTATATATATGTATATATATCTCCAGGGTTTTTCCTCCTCGTGCTAATTTGAGGTGATGAAATTCTGCTTTTAATTCATCTTCACAAAATGTGCAGAATTTGCAAATAGATTTTTTTCCTTGAAAGACTCATGGCTCAATTGGGATTAAATAATTAAAACTTTTTACTACAATTGTCAAAGATTATTTTGTTTAATAGTATGAATGCTGGTATACCAAATAATTTCAGAAAGCATAGAAATGATACGACCGTAACTGTTATTCTAACTTCTAAAATTTATTTACATTTAAAAAGTGTTTATTGATTTTATAGAGAGTGGAAGGTAGAGAGAAACATCAATGTGAGAGAGAAACACTGAGTAGTTGCCTCCCATAAGCTCCCCTAAAGGGTATTGAACCCACAACCTAGGCATGTGCCTGGACCAGGAATCGGACGCCCCGCCTCTCAGTGTATGGGATGATGCTCCAACCAACAGAGCCAGCCCAGCAAGATGTACTTTTAACGTTTATTAAATAGTTGAAAGCCTCTGAAAGATATAATATTCTTCATAAACTATTTAGAAAAATTTTCCCTCTTTAACATATGTATTTTCAATTTATTTCCCTTCCCTAATGATTTTAAAATAATAGTTTTATATGTTAAAGAAATGGCCCAAACCATCTATTATTGCAACATCTTACTTGTGCAGTAAAAATTATGCTTTTCTGTCTCAGCGTATGAAGTCAATGAGCTGTCCCCACGCCGAGCGCTGTGGGGAACGTTCGCAGCCACTGCCTTCCCTGCCCGTCGCAGCGACCCCGGAACGCGGTCGCAGAGCCAGCGTCGCAGGGCCATGTGCCAGCGCGCGGTCACCCGAGTGGCCGTGGAAGGGGCTGCGTGGTCCCTCGGCCTTTCTGAGGCGGAGCGGGAGCCGCGGGCAGACTGTGGCTGAGCGACCGTGTTCGAACCCACGCTTGGGGCCTTGCCTACTTCCTTTGAGAAACTGACGTTTCTGTACAATGTTTAAAATGCACTTGGATGCAGTGCCACAGGCAGGTGTGCGTGGGCGTGACTGTCCCACACGGGGGTGGTGCTTCCTCTATTATGTTACATTTTATATTAATTACATGTTATATTTATTATTTTATGTTACATCATATTACATACACTGTTTACACTGGGAGTCAAGGGCGCAGGTAACAGTGGGCGCGCCTGTGAGCACAGGCCCGGCCGCCCAGCGGCTCTTTGCGGCCGGGCAGGGAGCCGGGGGCCACCGGGCCGCTGGTCGTCTTCCCTGGGCGAGGGTTGGGCCTCCTGCCCCAACAGAGAACCCGGGTGGGAAGACGGTGGGGGAGCCGCGGCTGGAGAGTGGAGAATGGAGACTTTGGACCGGGCGGCGGGGGCGGAGCCAGGTCCGTTCCAGCTTCGGGCCGGCGGCGGTTTTGCACCTGCGGGCGTGGTGCACCGGGCGCTGCAGGAATCTCCGCGCAGGCGACACTGGACCGTGCAGTCAGCGCACTGACCACTTCTCCTTAAATTGTCGAATAAAACAATGACAACAGTCAACGGAGCAGTAGCCGCCTGGTGTGAATGGATCGAGGTTGTGTCCCTCTGTTCGGTCAAACGGGCTGAGACTGTGAGCACCGTCTGGCGCGCGGAGCCGCAGCGTCAGCCGCGTGTGCGGCCCGAGCCCTGTGCGCGGGGTCCCTCCCGCCCCGCCGCCGACCCCGCGAAGGCGCCTTGCTCTTCCCTCGCCCTTGACGCCTGTGCTCATTTCCACAGGCGCCGCCAGGCTGCCCGGGAGCCCGTCCGCGAGGTGAGGCCGCGCCGCGCTGGGGACCGGCCGGCCAGCGACCCGGGGGCCTTGGAGCGGCCGCGGATGGCAGGGCGCCTCGGCCCCTGAGGACACCTGTCCACCAGCCCTGGCTGAGTCGCAGCGACCCGCGGCGGACCCCGCTGAGGACGGGCAGGAGAGCGGCGACATGAAGAAGAAGAAGACGGAGCAGCCGCCGGCGCGCCTCGCGGCCCTGGGCAGCCCCCACCGTCAGTACCATCCCCTGCCCCCGCCCGGCCGCGCAGAGCCATCTGTTCTCCCCGCGGACCGCGGGCCGGAGGGCTTCGTGGCGAAAGGCCGGCGACCTCTGGCGCCTCCCTTTCTGCGCCTTTCGCTGGGGGGAGAACGTGGCCGAGCCCGCGGGGACGCCTTGGACCAGGCCGGGTGGTCAGCGTTGGCCGCGGCCTGCGCGCCGGGGCGCGCCCCTGGGGTGACCTGCTGCTGCCTCGGGGCGCGTGCGTTCATTCCTGTCGCCCGTCTCAGGCCCCCGGAGAGGAGTGGGCCTCCCTCCCGCTTAGACGGCGGAGCCCAGGCCGCGCTGGGACGAGGCGTGGGGTGGGGGACGGGGCGGGCAGGGAACCTGCCCGTCGGGTTCCCACCTCCTCGCGGGGCCCGTTCAGCCCCCACCCTCTGCAGGCGAGTGCCGGTCGCAGGTACTCTTCCCACAAGCTCTGCTCCCACGTCTCCAGCCTTTCCCCGGTCAGGGGCCGCTGCCGTCCCTGGGCCCTGGGCGCCCGCTGTGACTCTCTGTCCGGAGGGCGCGGTTCTCCCCGCGCGGACGCTTCCCACTTCTCTGTTCTCACCACAACGGCTCCTACGCGTGTGATGTCGAGTGATACCGTATCTTGTGCCACCTCTCCTTCTGCCCTGGACTGTGGGGACTTGTATTGCCCTTTCACCCTGCAGAGTTCATGCTGCATCTCCCCTCCGCCGGGTCTTGCAGGCTCTTTGAGCCTCTGAGGGGGCTTCACAGACAAGGATCCCTGTCCTGAAGGAGGCTCCTGGGAAACAGGCGCTTCTGTCATCTCCCTTAGCGCGGCCTTGTCCTCAGTGCCTTCTCTCCTTTCTACAGGCCCCGTTGGTTTGCACAACGTGGGACAGACCTGTTGCCTTAACTCCCTGATCCAGGTATTGATCAGGAACGAGGGCTTCACCCAGATCCTGAAGAGGTGAGACTGTTACCCAGGCTATAAACACGTATATTATGTTATGTTTTCAAATAGTGTTATTTTCAGTGACTTGGACTTCTTAAAATAACTTATTTTTCAGGTACAGTTGACATTCAATATACGTTAGTTCCAGATGTTCCACATCACGGTTAGAGATCCATGCACCTTACAGAGCAGCCACCCTGACCCCATAGACAATTATCCCACATGGTGGACTTGTCCCTGGGCTGCACTGCACAGCCCAGGGAGGCTCGGTGGCTGCCAACGTGTGCTTTCCAAAAAAGGGTTTGTTTTCTAGAGAGAGGGGAAGGAGGGGGAGAGGGAGAGAAACAACCCTGCGTGGGTGCCTCTCTCGCGCCTCCCGCTGGGGACCTGGCCTGCAACCCAGACCTGGGCCCTGACTGGGCATCGAACCGGCGACCCTTTGGTTCCGAGACCGGTGCTCAGTCTGCTCAGCCCCACCAGCCCCCAACGTGCACTTTTTAATCCTTTACTTTTTCACCTGTCCCTCCCGACCCCACTCTTTCTGGCAAGCATCAAAATATTATTTGTATTTATGAGTGTTTTGGGTGGTTTTTTTTTATTTTTTTTGTAATTTTGTGTTATAGATTCCATATATGAGTGAAATCCTACGGTATTTTTATTTCTTTGTTTGACTGACTTCATTTCGTATACTGCCCTCTAGGTCCATCCACGTTGTCACAAACGGTAAACTGCCACCCTTATTTAACAGCCAAGCGATAGCCCATTGTATGGATGTACCACCCTCCTTTACCCGCTCCTCTACTGACGGGCACTTAGGCTGCTTCCGCGTCTTGGCTCTTGTAAATAATGCTGCAGCGAACATAGGGATGCAGATGTCTTTCCAAGGTAGTGTCTTGGGTTTCTTCAAGTAAATATTTAGAAATAGAGTTGCTGAGTCCTTCTTTGTCTCTTGTTATATAGCCTTTGTTTAGAAGTCCATTTTGTGTGGCGTAAATGTTGCTGCACCAGATTGTTCTGTTACCATTTACATGAAATCTTCCCCCACCCCTTTACTTTCATCTCTGTGTGTCTTTCCATCTGAAGTGAGTCTCTTGGAGGCAGCATCCGTGAGGGTCTTGTTTTCTTATCCACTCAGCCACCGATGTCTTTTGATTGGTGCATTTAACTCATTTACACTTGAAGTAGTTGTTAATAGATAGGTCGATATCGCCATTTTATTGTCATATTTTTAATCTTATTTTTTCTCCTTCTTGATGAAGTCCCCTTAACATTTCTTGTAATACCAGTTTGGTGGTGATGAACTCCTTTAGCTTTACCTTGTTTGGGAAGCCCTTTAACTGTCCTTTGATTCTAAATGACAGCTCCGCTGGGCAGAATAACCTTGGTCGTAGGTCCCTGCTTTTCACCCCTTTCAGTGTTTTCTGCCAGTCCCTCTGGCCTGAAAAGTTTCTGTGGAGAAATCAGCGGACAGTCTGCGGGAGCTCCCTTGCAGGGAACTAACTGCCTTTGTCTTGCTTCTTCTTAGATTTTCTCTCCTTGTCTTTCATCTCATTGGTAATTATGGTCTGTCTGGGTGTGGGGCCTCTTTGGGATCCTTTTTTTGGGGACTCTATGCTTCCTGGGCTTGTGTGACTGTCTCCTTCACCAGGTTAGGGAAGTTTTCTGTCATTATGTCTTCACGTAAGTTTCCAGTTCCTGTCCCTCCGTTTCCGGCTGCTGTCAGTATAATGCAGATGTTGTGCCTGATGTTGTCCCAGAGGCCCCTTCAACTATCTTCATTTCAAAAATTTTTTTTTTTTGCCGTTCTGATTATTTTCAAAATTGTCATCTTCAAAATTGGTGATTCAGTGCTCTTCTTCATCTAATCTGTTGATTCTTTCTAATGTATACTTTATTTTAGTTAGGTGTTCCTAATTTCTGACTGCTTTAAAAATGTTTTCTATCTCCATTTTTATGTTTCCTGTCTTTTGGTGAAGTTCTCACTGAGATCACTGAGCATCCGCCCAACCAGTGTTTGGAGCCCTGCAGCTGGTAGGCTGCTCGTCTCTGTTTTGTGTAGTTCTTTTTCTGGAGTTTTGTCCTTTTCTTTCGTTTGGCCTGTGTTCCTTCGTCTCCCCGTTCTGGCGGCCTCCCTGTGCGCATCTCTGTATTAGGTAGATCTGCCATGTCGCGTGGTCTTGGCAGGTGGCTGTGTATAATGGGTGTTTTGGGGAGCTCAGAACACAGCCTCCACAGTCACCTGCGTGAGGCGCCCTAGGTGTGTTGTTGGTGTGGGCTGTGCGTGCCTCCCGCTTGCAGTTCTGCCTGGATTGCTGTTGGCCCGCCGAGTCGTTGGCCCTCCGGCGGGTGGGTTCCGAGAGCCGGCCGCGGCTGTGGCACAGAGGCTCACCCTACAAAGCCGGATCCCCTTCAGCCTGGCTCTGGCACCTGCGGTTTGGGTGTGACATTTGGGGAGGTGGCGGGGCGGGGCTCTGGTGTGGTCTGAATCCGGCCACTGAATGTGTTGGTTCTGGGGCCTCTCGGGAGGTGCAGGCCAAGGTCAGCTGCTGCCTCTGCCTTGCCCAGGGCCCCCTGGCATGAGCCACCATGTGAGGTGCAGGTGGCTGCCCCTTGTGCTAGGTCTGGAGGTGCCTGGGAGGCCCTAAGCTGTGATCGAGGCCGGCTGCTGTCAGTGTTGGGCTTGGGGCTGCTTTGCACACCAAGGCCAGATGCTGCTTGTTCGGGGTTTGCGAGCCTTTCGGAGACGTTAGGGAAGTCTGAAGCGTGCGCCAGGACCGGCAGTCGGTGTGAGAAAGCCACTGGAAGCAGCGTGGGCGATTCTGCAGGTTCGGTGGGGAGGGTCTCAGGGAATCAGTGGGGCGGGACAAGCAGTGCGAGCAGGCGGATGGAGACTCGGGTGTGGGGCCCGCCTGCGGCTTCGTGATGGGGGGCTCCTGAGAGGGGCAGCGGCCTCTGCCAGCACTTCTGTCTGGGGAAAGCTGCCCTCCCAGCCCCCACCCCAACGCCAGATACTTCAGTTCCCCCTGTGTGTGCCCGGCGCCTTTCGAGCTGCTGCCTTGTTGCTGGAGCCTGGGTAGGGGTCTGCCGGTGGGCGGCTCTGTGAGCCCCTGAGGCCCCCGAAGCCCTCTGCTGCCACCAGCCGCAGTCTCCGCGGGCTTCCACAGCCAGAAGCTGTGAGGGCTCCTCTTCCTGCCACTGGAACCCTGGGCTTGGTGGCCGTGTGGGAATGGGGCCCTTCGCTCCCCGGGGGCACCCGTGCAGTCGAGCCATCGCTCCTGGTTTTTAAGCGCCACCGTGGGTGTGGCCTCCGCCGACTCTGTGTCTGCCCCCCCTGCCAGTCTCGGCGCGGCTGCGTCGGCACCTCCAGCTGCAGGCCGTCTCAGGCGGAGCTGGGTGGTGGTGGGTCCGTGGTTTAGTTGCACAATCATTTGGATGTGGCTGTGGGAGGAATGCCAGTGCAGCTTCCACCGGCTTCTGCATTCCGGCTGGAAGCCCACAGGGACCTGCACTTTCAGAAGTTTTCTTCCAAAGGTCACCAGAGAAAAGTCTTGTTCTGCACATTCTGGACTACACAGTCACCTAAGTTCAAACAATATATAAATGCCACTCTGAACGGTGTGGCTCAGTCGTCTGGGCATCGTCCCAGAAAGCGGAAGGTTGCCGGTTCGATTCTCGGTCAGGGCACACGGCCGGGCTCCAGGTTTGGTCCCTGGTTGTGGGTGCGTGCAGGAGGCAGCTCATCCATGTTTCTCTTGCATATCGATGTTTCTCTCCCTCTTTTTCTCCCTGCTTTCCCCTCTCTCTAAAAAATTCTGAAGAAATCTTAAATTGTCTGGGACACTGAAAAAAATTGGGTAACTGGGTTCCACCCCTTGAAATTCTGATTTCGTCAGTTCGGAGAGTGGCCTGGATGTGGAGACTTTTGGAAGCCCCTCGAGGAAGTGTGGGAGCTGCTGACACTTCCAGGGGGCTCAGGCCGTTGCTCCCGGCAGGTTGACAGTGCCCGTGGGAGTGGAAGAGCAGTGGAGGAACCTGCCCTTTCAGCTGCTCTTGCTGCTGGAGAAGATGCAGGACAGCCGGCAGAAAGCGGTGCGGCCCATGGAGCTTGTGTGCTGCCTCCGGAAGCACAAGGTGCCAGGTGAGTCAGCCTGCCGAGCCCCGGACGGGGCCTGGTGCTCGGGTGGGCGGGCGCAGGAGACGCATGGAGGGTTGGGGCAGAGAGAGAGGAAGGAGAGGAGACGGACTAAGAACGACATTTGGTAGGTGGTGAGCCCCTTGTATTGGGGGCATCTGTGTCAACCCGAAACCCTTTGAAGAGCCCGTGTTCTCACAGGCACACAGCAGGCGTTGTCCTGCGTCTGCCACCTTCGTGCTCGCCCTCCCCGCCTCTCGTAGAACAAGCGAAGCCGAAGAGGTTCCTCGAAGCTGATGCAGCTGGAGGTCAGGCGCCTCAGGAAAGCAGGGTAGGGGATTAAGGAGGAGAATCTGTGTTCTACAAGAGAAAATTCTTAAATTGGTTAGTTTTTTAAATCTCACATACCTTAAAATTTACTCTTTTAAAAATATGCAATTCAGAGGTTTAGTAGATTCACAGAGTTGTGTGACTGTGGCAATCTGAGTTCAGGACGCTTTATCTCCCCCAAAGAAGCCCCTTACCTATTAGCAGCCACTCACAAATCTTTGTTGTTTTCTCCTGAGTGTTATGCTTTTAGCTCTTACATTTCGATTTGTGTTTCATTTTGAGTTACCTTTTGTGAACGGTGTGAGGTAGGGGGTCCAACTTCATGCTTTTGCATCTAGGCATGTAATTGTTCCAGCACCATTTGTTGAAAAGAGTATTCTTTCCCCATTGCATTGTTTTCATACTCTTGTTAAAAATTAGTTGATCATAAGAGTAGGTGTCTTTTTCTGGACTCTAACTCTATTTCATTGATCTTGATGTCTGTTCTTATGCCAGTACCACCCTGTCTTGATTACTATAGCTTTGTGAGTAAATTTTAATATTGGAAAGTGTAAGTCCTTTAAATTTGTTCTTTTTTCAACATTGTTTTGGCTATTTGCATTTCCATACAAATTTTAGGATCACCTTGTTAATCTGTGTGCAAAAAAAAAAAAAAAAAAGAAAAGAAAAGAAAAAGAAAAAGCCAGCTAGGGTTCTGATAGGGATCACACGGGGTCTGCGGATCGACTTGTGGAGCACTGCCATTCTAATAATACTTACTCTTCAGAACCATGAACATGGAATGCCTTTTCATTTATCTGGGCTTTCTTTAATTTCTTTCAGAAATGGTTTTTAGTTTTAGTGTGTAAGTCCTGAGTTTCTTTTGCAAAATTTATTCCTAAGTATTTTTTGATATTATTGTAAGTTGAATTCGTTTTTTAACCTCATTTCAGGTTGTTCATTACCAGTGTATATATAAAATACACTTGGTTTTTGTATATTGCTTTTGTATCTACAGCCTTACTGAACTAATTTATTAGTTCTAATACTTTTTTGGTAGAGTTCTTAGAGGTTTCTATGTACGAGATTATGTCATCTGCAAATAGAGATACTTTTACTTCTCCCTTCCCAGTCTGGGTGCATTGATCTCCTTCTCTTGCCTCATTGCCGTGACTAGTGCCTCCTGTGAACTGTTGAATAGAAGGGGTAAGAACAGATACTCTTGTCTTGTTCTTGATCTGAAAGCATCGGATATTTCAAAAATAAGTGTGACGTTGACTGATTTTTCATAGTTGGCCTTTTCATAGTTGGCTGGAGGTAGTTTTATTCTGTTATTTTGCTGAATGTTGTCATTAGCAAAGAATGTCAAATTTTGTCAAATCCTGTTCTGCATCAGTTGAGATGATCATGCGGTTTGTCTTTTATTAGTATGTGGTGTTACCTTGATTGAATTTTGGATGATGCTTTTCTGGGATAGATCCCAGTTGGTCATGGTGTATAACCCTTTTCATGTGTTGCTGGTTTCAGCTTGCTGGTATTTTGTTAAGGGTTTCTCTGTCTGTATTTATAGGGGATATTGGTCTGTAATTTTTTGTGATGTTATTGGTTTTAGTATTAGGATGATTCAGGCCTCAAAGAATGAGTCAGGAAGTGTTCCCTTCTCTTCCGTTGTTTGGAAATATTTGTGAAGGAATAGATATTAATTTTTTTAAATGTTTGGTATAATTAAGTGATCTGGGTTGGGCTTTTCTTTGTGGGAAGTTTCAAAATGGCTTGAAGAACTCCTTGTAGCATTTCTTATAAGGAAGGTCTGGTGGCGGTTAACTTCCTTAGTCTCTGTCTGTGAAAGTGTTTATCTTTCTTTCATTTCTGAAGGACAACTCTGCTGGATAAAGTTTTCTTTTTTATTGTTTATTTATATTTTTTAATCGTTGGGGTATCATCGGTTAATAGGATCACAGAGGTTTCAGGGGTGCATTTCTGTGGCATGTCATCTGTACTTCGCGTTGTGCGCCCACCACCCAAAGTCAAGCCACCCTCTGTCACCGCGTATTTGACCCCTTTGCTCTTTACTGCTCCTGGCCCCTGCCTTCTGGTCCCCACCAGACTGTTGCCTGCGTTTCTCGGTTTCAGTTTTGTGTCCCACGTATGAGTGAAACCACATGGTTCTTAGCTTCATCTGTCGACCTAACTCTCTTAGCACGCTCTTCTCGGTGTCCGTCTGTGTTGTCACAAAGGGCAGTGTTCCGTCTTCTCTGTGGCTGAACGGTGTTCTCCTGTGTGTATGCATCACGCTGTCTGTATCCAGTCCTCCATCAAAGGACGCTTTGGTTGGCTCCATGTCTGGGCCGCCGTGACTAATGCTGCAATGAAGACAGGGGCACATATATCTTTGTGAATAAGTGTTTTCGAGGTTTTCAGGTAAACACCCAGGAGAGGAGTAGCTGGGTCATATGGTAACTCTGTTCTTAATTTTTTGAGGAACTTCCATATCGTTTTTGGCTTCATTGTGACAGATTATGTTCCCATATACATGTGGGTTTATTTCTGGGCTCTCGGCTCTGTTCCATTGATCTGTGTATCTGGTTTTCGGCCAGTACCATGTTGTTTTGATTATTGTTGCTTTGCAGCATAGTTTGAAGTCAGGGACTATGATACCTCCAGCTTCGTTCTTTTTTCTCAGGATTGCTTTGGCTATTCGGGGTCTTTTGGGTTCATTATAAATCTGATGGTTTTTTGTTCTATGTTTTTAAGAAATGACATTGGCATTTTGATGGGTGTGGCAGTAAATCTCTATATTGTTTTGGGTGAATACGACCATCTTAACTATGTTGAGTCTTTGAATCCATGAGCACAGACTGTGTTTCCATTTTGCTGTGTCAGCATCGGTTCGGCTCTGCTGTTCAGGATGATCACCCTAGAATATGGACGCGTCGATCCATCCACCTGCTGTGACGTATTTATCAGTTAAGGGCCAGGTGTTGTGCTGGTGTTGATGTGGGGACGAGAGGAATAGGGTCTTTGCCTCAGTGAAGCTTAGTTTAGAGGAGAAACAGGCCAAAAGAAAAATAAAACAACAACAAAACCCCAAAACATTAAGTACAAGTTGTGATTAGTATCATGAAGGAAATAAAATGGTGTTGAGGTAGCAGATAGGAATGTTTAGTGCACATACAATAATTACCCTTTCTTGCAATGTCTTTGTGTTTTGGCAGATATCTGTCCTTTTGTAAGATAGTCCTCAGTGTGTTTTCATGTTCTTTGCCTTCCTAGCTCTCTTTCCTAGGATTTGGCACTTACGCTTTTTGCTTTACATCCACTTGTCACACGTACAGAATCCCCTGCTCCTCTCTCGCCTCCCCGGCCTCTGTGGCGGTCCTTTCTCTTCTTCTCCTGGACACTGTTGGGGAGGACCTGGGCCATATACGAGGACTGAGTAGCTGCTCAGTTTTTAGGGAAACGAATAAATACATAAAGGCACAGAGAAATGAGTGGCCAGAGGAGTCCAAGTCACGTGTTGGTTTGGCACAGACAGGGGAGAACCCACCATTGACTGTTGGTTTCCTCTGGTTGTGTCCCTGCGTGGAGGCCAGTAGGGTGGGTGGCAAATCAGAGGACAGAAGACTTGGATTTTAAGTCTTAAGAGGAGCTCTCAAAAATCAGTCCCAAGCTTGTTTTCCACTTGGATCACCTGACACCCAGTGGACAGCGGGCCCAGGCAGGGCGGTGCAGGCTGGCGGGCGTCCGTGTGCGTCCAGGCACCGGGGCGTCAGCAGTGCCCTCGAGGACTTGCTAACTGGGCTGTGGCTTTTCTCTTTGGCCAGTGTTCGTCCAGCATGATGCTGCTCAACTGTACCTCACAGTCTGGAACCTAATTAAGGACCAGATCACGGATGCGGACCTGGTAAGATTCTAGAACGAGAACACCCAGGAGTTTAAGATGCTGCTCCTGTAGCTCCCTCAGCAGTGGTGAGTGTGATGTGTAGGGAGGATTAAAAGAGAAAATCATACACAATGCTGATCACAATTCCATAATATTATCAGGGTCGTCGTTCCGCACCTTTCTATGTAGAGCAAAGAGCATCCGTAGCTGCCGTTTCTTGAGCTGCTGTCTGGTGGCTCCAGCTCCTGGAAACCATCCTGGCTCGGCCTCGGTACGGCTGCCTGTGCCCTTCGCTGACCACCCCCTCCTCCCGCAGGCAGAGAGGCTGCAGGCCCTGTACACGATCCGGACCCAGGAGACCTTCGTGTGCCTTGAGTGTGGCGCGGAGAGCAGGAGGAACAGCAGCATGCTCGCCCTCCCGCTTTCTCTTTTCGATTCGGACTCAAATCCCCTGAGGACGCTGGTAAGGGACTTCTCTCGTTGGATTTCCTGTTCTCACATAAATTCAAATTAATTGAATTCATAGGGGGACATTGGTTCACAAAGCCGTACATGTTTCAAGTGAACACCATCTGTGTGGAACCGTGTGCCCATCGTCCCAGGCAAAGTCCCTTTCCGTCCCCGCGTTTCCCCCTTGTCCCCCCTTTGCCCACCTCCTGCTACCCCCACTCTGTTTCTGCCAGAGGGGTGATGACCACTCTGTTGCCTGTGTCTACGTGTCATAAAATGTCTTTCTGTGAACCCCTCACCTTCTTGCTTCCTTAGTTCAGTAACTGAGCTTTTGTGGTTCATGCTTGGCTTTTACAATATCATTTCTGTCTCCTGTGCATGGCTCTGGCCAAGATCTCCCTTGAATTGATTTTTTTCCCTCCTATTTCTACTTTCTGGTACCCTGTCCTGTTCTCTCCTCTAGTCAGTAGGTGCTTTGTGAGATCGTGCCGCGGGCCCCGCTCTGGCCCGACCGCCAGGGGCACGGAGGCACCAGACGGAAAGCGAAGGCCCCACTGCAGGACGCGGCTGTGCCCGAGGTGGGGACACCAACCCTGCTTGTTTTCTTGTTCTCCTGGGACAGGAGGAAGCCCTTCGCTGCTTCTTCCAGCCCAGGTTGCTGCCCGGTGAGAGCAGCTGCTTCTGTGAGCGTTGTGGGAAGAGGACGGGCGGGAAACAGGTACTCCCCCCTGAAACGGACTCCCCAAGGCCGAGGCAGTCCCTGGGAGACCCGTCCCACAGTCGCCGACTTGGTCCAGGGGTCCTGGGGCTCTCTGATCACATTCCTGGGGGAAGCTGCCTGTGAAGGAGAAGGGAGGGGCGGAGGCAGGGGCCGAGTTTTCCCTCGAGGCTGGACTGGCTGCCTGTGCAGACTCCATGGTGTCCCTGGGCCCCAGAGCAGGTGCTGGGCGTGAACCGGAACCTGAACGCAGGCGGCTCAGGCCCTCCGTTTCTCAGCTGACAGCTGCTGGGGGCCCCGCTCTGTGTGTGTGGCCCTGGTTCCCTCTTTGCATGTTTGCTGTGGGATGTCCCTGAACCTGCCCATAACAAGTGCTGAAGGGCTTCCTCTCCATAGCGGCTTTGCTTCCGCAGGCCTTGAAGCTGACGCATCTGCCCCAGACTTTGACAGTCCACCTCATGCGGTTCTCCATCAGGAATTCACGGACACAGAAACTCTGCAGCTCCCTGCACTTCCCCGAGAGCTTGGATCTGCGGCAGGTCCTTCTGACCGAGGAAGCCCTCTGCAGTGCCGAGGCCCAGGTGAGGCGCCCCCTGTCCTGCCTGGACTCCACGTCCTCCGACGGACGCTTTGCACTGTTGTGCTGTGGAACCCTTGCGGTTTCTGGGCCCACGTTCAGGGGTGCCCCCTTCCCACGGCTTGTCTGCCAGTCTTGTTCATTCTGCAGGGTCGCTTCAGGCCTGTCTTCTCTGAAGAGCTTCCCCCAGCTCCTCAGCCTTTCCTCAGGTGGTGTTCCTTTTCCTTTTGGGCAAAAGTTGGGTTTTCCTGAATTAACCTGTAATTCCATCTGGTGTAAAACACAGCATTCTAATTCTGGCTTATGTAGCAGTGCAATTCTCGAAGTCAGGGCCTGTTTTCCGGTCCCTGTGAAGCAGCAGGCCTGGCAGGGAGTAGGCGCTGGGTAACCATGTGGGGAAATGTCTCCTTACTCTAAAGTAGGGTTGAAAAGCAGGGGCGATGGGTGAGCTGTTTTGTGTCTTCGGTTTTTCCAGCTTGGGGGGCAGTATGAGCTCTTTGCTGTGATTGCCCATGTCGGGCTGGCTGACTTCGGCCATTACTGTGCCTACATCCGGAGCTCTGTGGATGGAAGGTGGTTCTGCTTCAACGACTCCAGTGTTTGCTGGGTGAGCAACAGCCTCCAAAACTGCCTCTTGCCCTAGATTAGCTGCCTCTGCTTGTCCCGAGCAACACCCAGCACTCCAGGCTCTGTGGGGAACGCAAGGAAAGCAAGAAGAGTTAGAGACATGAAGTCAGAGCTCTGGGTGGAGCATAACCAAGTTTAAACAGAGAGACAAGGGCATTAGAAGACACTTTGCTTCATGGCATTTATCGGTAGATGCCGTGGGTCTGGGGAGGTCCCAGGCAGCCTTGTTGGGAGGAGGGAGGAGCGGACGGTAGCACCCTGTCCTCCCTGGTGCTTCATGTTGCATGTTTGTGTACTTCAGGTGTCCTGGGAAGACATCCGGTGTACCTACGGACATCCCAGCTACCGCTGGTAAGAGACCTGTTTGAGTGGGGAAACCTGATGAGCTTGTGCAGCATTCTTGCTGCTGCCGAAATGCTCGTGGGTTCCGCTGCCGACGTATTTGTGTAACTGCTGCTTGGCTTCCTCTGTCATACCATCCTGCTCTACCATGATTTCCTCACAGTTTATTTTATCAATTTTCCCCCGAGGATTTTTTATTGATTTGAGTGAGAGAGCGAGCGAGAGAGAGAGCGAGAGCAACATTGATCCTCTGCCTCCCGTAGGTCCCCGTGTAGGGACCGAACCTGCAACCTAGGCATGTTCCGTGACTGGGAATGGAACACACAGCCTTTTGTACAGGACGACGCTCCAGCCAAACCAGTGGAGCCACCCGGCCAGAGCCATTTTCTCACAATTAAGGCCCCAGCTGAAGAGGAAGTAGCTCCCACACCCCCCATGTCCTCTCCGTGGCTTCGCGCGCCCCGGTCCTGGCCCGTGGCCCTCTCTCTGCACTGACCACCCAGGCAAAGGCCCAGCCATGCCTCAGCCCCTATGCGCGTGGCCTTCCCCTGCCCCGCGAAGCTGGCCCTGATCGCCCCGGGCCGATCTGCAGGGGCTTCCCGTGAGCCCCCGCTGCGTTCTGAGCGGCCCCCCTCTGTGGAAAGGGCCATGCGGTCTTGTAACTGCTGCGTCAGTTTCACTCCAGCCCATGAACCCTTGGGGGCAAGGGTCACTCTTTCCCTCTTTCTTTGTCTGGGGCGGTGGCTTGTATTTAGTGAATAGCAATAACTATTTTTTAAAACGAGTACCTATATATAGAAGGGAAGCTGGAAAGAGAAGAGCTGTGGAATCGGATGGGAGTCTCGTGAGTGTTCCCAGCCGCGCTTCTGGGCTGGGAGTGGCCTTGTGTGCCAGAGCTGACACTTGAGACGATTTCAGCTGCAGAGGTCGTCCAGATCATTTGAAAAATAAAGAATTAGGTGAAGTTTGTGTTTGAAATCCTCCTCCAATCTTCCTTTTCTCTCTTATAAGCACCTGCCATGGGTGCTCGTTCTTTGTCACTTCCTGGTTGTCAGCTACTCCCCTCCCCCATTAATTAGATCAGAGTTTGGCAAACTTTCTCTAAAAAGGGGCCAGAGACTAAGTATCTTAGGCTTTGTGGGCCACACAGTCTCCGTTGCAGCTATTCAACTCTGCCCTTGTTGCCAAAATCTGACACAGACATTACATGAAGAGTGAGCATGGCCGTGTTCCAATTAAATTTATTTGACTCGTCGGTTCCTACTTTGTCAGCTCCTGATCTAGATGTTAACTAACTGCTATTTAGTGGTTATTTCCCAGGTCTGGTGTTTTGTTCTCTGAGGTGATGGATAGATGAACACTTTATCCAACCACCTGGAAAGTTTGCAGACCTTTATCCTATTGTGAGTTAATAATGTATCAATTAACTGTGAATGGTTCATTTCTGCTATAATGTTGCATTTTTTTTCTTCTAGGAGGGAAACTGCCTATCTTCTGGTTTATATGAAGACTGAGTCTTAGTGGATGTATCCCAAACCTTCAGAGACTGAGAAAGTATCATTTTCCTTTTCTGTTCTTGAATCTACTCTTTTAAGAGATTTTGGAATGAGGAGAAGCACTATTTTCAAGTTGTATAATTAAACTTTATTTAAAATCAGGGGTCATTTTAAAAATATTTAACCATCACGTGGAGGAGTTGATCAGTCAGAACGGACACTCCCACCTCGTGGGCGGGGCAGGCCCTGCGGGTTCCCTGCCGTGCAAGAGGCTACCCCTTCTGTTACCGAGGAAGTCCACTGCTTTCAGGGGGCTGTGATCTGCCAGCAGTGGGGGGAAGGGGCAATGGTGGGGAAGTCCTTCAGTATTTTACAACTAGTGTGATAGTACCGGTATGTATTGGCTGTGTATCACTTCTATCTATATATTCTTTAATTTTTAAAACCTGATAATTCCATAAAACTCAAGTGCTTTACAGTTGGTACTCATTTATGTGACAAATGTGTATTGAGTACCCACTCTCCATGAGATTGCATGTTGGACACAAGGGTGAATAAAGTTTTCTCTCTCAAAAGGCGTTTGCAGTTTAATGGGTAGCAATCAAAATACACACGCTGCTGAGGCTTTGCACTCTAGGAACTTGGAAGGAAGGGAACCCCCCCAGTCGCGGGGCCGCGGGAGGAGACTGCGGGCTGGACTCGGGCGGGGAGCAGCACGCTCACTGGTGCGGCTAAGGAAAGCCAGGCTGCAGGTTCAAAGGTCGTCTCTGAACCTGGTTTCGAACCAAGAAAGCGAGCGTGAGGGGTAAAGATGGCAGGTAGGCGCAGCTCTGAATGGAGGTCTTTAACTGAATGAAGACGTTTGGGTTTAATTTAATGGGTAAGTAGAGACTGTTGAAGGGCTTCAAAAAGGAAGCGGGGCAGTGCCATTTTGGCGGAATGAGTCTGCTGGGGGCTGGAGACAGGGCCTGGAGAAGGGGGTGGCAGGGTGGATGGAGAGGCGGGTACCGTCGCTACAGCCATTGGGAGGAGGAACGGATGTGGGTCGTGAGAGGAGGGTCCGGGGAGATTCCAACAGCATCCTGGGCAGTGAACAGGGTGGCTGTTCCCACCCCCTTTTTACAGACAAACCAACTGAGACCTTCACATGTCTAATGCCCTGTTCAAGATTTCATGCTTGGTAAGGGACCGAACCCAAAATCCCAACATAAAATGTGGGTAACTTCTGTATTATTTTTTATTGGAAAAAATTCACCATAAAAGAATAAGTCAATTTGCTATAACAAGTTATCACACACAGGTGGCTTAAAACAACAGCAATTTATTTTCCCATGGTGCCAGATGCCGGACGTCTGACGTCACGGTGTCGGCAGCGGCGGCTCTTTCTGGGGCCTCAAGAAGAGGCTCCGTGCCATCCCCTCTCGTGGCGCCGCGCCCCGATGTGCCTGCGCCTTCCCTGTGAGCGGCTGCGGCCGCTCCCCTGCCTACCCACCCCGCCCCCCGCCCTGTCCAACACCACGTCACTGTCACTGGGCTGGTTGCCTCTGGAAGGACCCCATTTCCAAAGAAGTGCACATTCTGAAGTTCCCGGTGGTCGTGAATTTGTGGGGACACCATGCAGTTCAGTAAAAGTGTGTGCCCCTCTAGGCCTTTTGAGTGCATTTGCACACACACATCACAGCTATAAGTAATTTTTAAATGTGCCAAATGAACTCCTTCGAAAGAGTCTGGAGGTTACGCCAGAGGCAAATGATTGAGATTTAAGAGTCGGCGTTTGCAATGGAAGCACAGCCAGGCCCAAACCCAGAAATGTCCAAAGGAGAGAGGAGCTCATACTTCTTCCCATGGCAAGCGCATTCCTGAGGGTGATTCGTCCGGCTCTTCGCCCTGGGCTGGTGCCCGGTGCCGGGTGCCAGGGGTGGGGGCGGTTATCAGTCGAGCTGACGACCTGGAAGGCGGGCGCCGGGGGCTGCGTCCCACTCGGCGGCCGGGGTGACGGGCGTCGGGCCGGGCGAGCAAAGCCTTCCAGAGGCGGGCGGTTACCTGCAGGCCAATGGCTTTCCAATACTTTAATACAGATCGTATGAAACCGTGAACAACTTTGGGAAATGACATCTACGTATGATTTTTCCCACGAGACTGTGATGGTACTTTCCATTCGGTCAAGTTTCTGTTATGTGGGTCGCATTTAAAAATTCTGTGCATGCAGATCGTGAATATTCTCAGGCTTATCCAGGGCCCTGTGTTGGTTTCGGCACCATCGGTCCTTTTCTTTGATTATACCTTTACCTTGCTGTTTCTACATACCTGTAAAGGATATTTATTTCTGCATGTTATTTTCCCTCCCTGTAAGAAGTTCCATTATCTGTGATAATTAAGTTGCTTTTCGTGCTTTATCAAGGTAAATAAGCTGCTGCACAATAATAAATTTGCGTTGCTTTAGGTATGTAGAAACGTAAAAATAGATAAAGCTTGGAAGAAAACATGAAGAAATGAGGTAATGTGAGGAGTCAGAGCAAAATTTTCCTCGGCAAGAAGTTCATTAGTGATTAAATAAAATAGTGACAGGACACTAGCCTCGTACGTGCGCCCCGGGCAGTCCCCGCGGTGCACGTCGAGGTGTTTTGTGGGGAGGTGGCGCCCCCTGTGGGCCGCTCGGGGACCTCGCCCCAAGGCGGGCGCCCGCGCGGTCGGTCGAACGGAAGGATGCGGGTGGCGAATTCTGGAGCCAAGGGCCCCAAGTGTTTCCTTGCGGTGACATTGCAGGACAGCCACTGAGACGAGACTTACGAGCAGCGGCCAAGAAAGCGGCCGTCCTCGGGCGCCTCGGTGCTCGGTCTCCCGGGCGGCGGGTCTCCCGCCGCCGCTCTGCGGGCGCGTCCGCCGCGTCTCCGCCCGGCGCCCGGCCCCGCGCTGCCGTTTGGTCTCGGCGGCCACGCGGCTCCTTCAAAGAGAGGGTTGGCTCCCCGCCGTCTCCGGGCGGAACACCCCGCCCGTTCCCCTCAGGGCGCCGGCGGCCGCTGGCGGCCGTCCAGCGCCGCTTCTTCCACCTTCCGCCTCTTTGGACCCTATGTCTGAAGTAATTTATATTTTTGCCCACGTTGTGTCTTGTCTTTTTATTCTCTGAACTTTTTCGGAGCATTCTTTAATTTTATAAAGCACACATTATTAAATGGAGACAAATGTATTTGAACAATAAAAAATAAAAAAAATGTCTAAGCAATAAGTCATAAAAAAACTGGAAAAAATGGGGAGGTTTTTTAAAAAAGTATGACTCAAATTAAGAAGTCGTAAAAAAATAACATATTTGATCTCATGGCAAAAGACTAACAAAGCGGGATAATCCCCAGGAAAAAAAAATAAAGTACACATTATTAATGTATTTCCTCCTGAAACTGCACGTCCGCAAGTGCCCCGACTCCCGGCGGTTTTGCGTGAATGGACCGCGGAGCGTCCCAGGGACAGGCGAGGGGCGGGGCCTGTCACGGCCGGGGCGGGGAGGCGGGGCCGGGGCGGGGCCTGCCACGTCCTGGGCGGGGGAATCGGGGATCGGGGGCGGGGCCTGTAACGGCCGGGGCGGGGGCGCGGGGCGGGGAGGGGAGGCGGGCGGGGGGCGGGGGCGGGAGGGGAGGCGGGCGGGGGGCGGGGGCGGGAGGGGAGGCGGGCGGGGGGCGGGGGCGGCCGGGGAGGCGGGCGGGGGGCGGGGGCGGCCGGGGAGGCGGGCGGGGGGCGGGGGCGGCCGCAGGTCTGAGGCCGGAGCGGTTCTGGCGAGACGAGCGCTGCGCGGACTGGAGGCTGGGCGCTGCCCGCCGCTGGTCTCCGGGGGCCACGAGGTGGTGCCGGCGATGGGATCCAGGGCCAGGAGGTGAGCAGGGTGGGGGGCAGATGCAGCCACCCAGTGAGGGGCAGAAAAGGGTGGCCGGACTCTTCTGGGGTGCACGTCTCAGGTCCCAAATTTAAGTGACCGCTTTTCTATGTTAATCTAGATTATATTACATTTATAGACAACTTTGTTAAATACATATCATTATGTGTTTGTTTATTTTTTAATCCAAGAACATGATGATGCTTTTCATTTGTTCAAGTTTCTCCTACTGGGTAGCGTTTTCCAATTTCGTTCATACAGATTTTGTCCATTGTTGTTAAGTTTATTCCCAGGTTTTTTTTTTAACCTGATTTGTTCCTATTGAGTCTGTAAAAATTATGTCTGTAACTTAACTATTTCCCTATATAAAGAATATTTCTGTATGTTATTTCCCCATCACTGTACTAAATTCTACCTATAATACTTTTCAGTGCATTCTCGTGACTTACCATGAGACTTATCGTGTGCTATCATGCAGTGATCATTACATTTTTGTAGCTGTGTGTGACCTAGAAATACTTAAAGCTTGACAGAAAACACAAAGAAATGAGGTAATGTGAGGAGCTAGAAAAATTCTCTGTTGGTCATAAGTATATTAATGACTGAATAAAATAGTAATATCATGCTTAGCATTTTAAATGAGTTTAGGGCCTGGATGCACCGTGTTCCAGAAATCACAAGTACTTTGTTAGTGGAAATGTGCCCTGGGCTGGTGATCTGAGGAGCAGGCAATATACCAAATGCCCATGTTTTCAAAGAGGGAAACTTCAGATGGTGAATTCTGGAATCTGAAAGAGCAAGATCCTTGTTCTGAGTCACACTATGTAACAGTTATTACCGTGGCTCGTGGGCGATGGAAAGAAGCCGAGGTCCCCAGACGCCTGCCCTGTTGAATCGCAGGGTGATCCAGTCTCCGAAGTCGTCAGACCTTCCTTTGCCTCCTGACCATTTGCCTGGGGCGCTTCTCCCCAATTCTTGCAAGACGGCTGGCAATCATTGTTTAAGTTCCAGCTTCCGCACTTCCTGTTCAAAGAAAGGCAGCGTTTCAGATGTAAGATGTAAGGTGACATTCTGTTTCTATTCTAATGGGCTCTTCATGGTACAGAGCAGGATTTCGCATTGGGCCCGAGGATTCATTCTCCTGGGGCACCCTCCTCTGCCTTGTGGGTGCTTATTAGCATCCAATACCCCCATTCACTGCATGCGGATGACACCCTTCCCTTCCCCTCAGGACAACCTGAAATGGCTCCATAAATTGCCTAACATCCCCTTGGGGGCACAAAACACCTTTAATTGAGAACCTCTGAATATGAAGCTTTTATTATTTTTGAAACCAGGGCGATCT